CCCCAAAACCCCAAAACCCCAAAACCCCAAAACCCCTAATTTTGTCTCGTAAATGAATTCATGAATTACATAATATTTATAAATAAGGAGCAACATGACTAAGATTGCTACTAAAGGAGGAATGCAAAAACTGATCTTGAATTTATTGAAAGCTTTAGGTTCTAAAGCTATCATGATGTACTTATTTATCAGCATCGTTACTGCGGTATGACTCAATCCCTATCAAAATAAGGAACCAAAGATAATCGATTGTACCATGGGTGGAGAATCTGCTCATCAGGAATTTCTAAAAAAATCTATTCCAACTGCAGTCTTCCTGGATACATCCAGGCATCTTTTTGATACTGGATCTGATGGACTCCATCCTTACCCGACTAAAGAGCAAGTTATCACAGCCATGCAGAATATTGGCGTAACTCTTGATGATAAAATAGTGCTTTACAGCCAGTCTGGCAAGCATATGAGTACTGCTAGAGTTTACCATATTCTCAAAGCTTATGGGTTCCATGATGTCACAGTTCTTGATGGCGGACTACACAAGTATATCCAAGATGGGCATCCAACTGTTCCAGGGGTTGACTACTCTGGGCCTCCCTCTGTCATAGAAGATTTGGCAGACCCATCTCCATATATGATAGATATGGATGAAATTATTGAGTTTGCACATGGAAATAGACCAAACATGCAAATCATCGACTCGAGAGATATAGAGAGTTATTATGGGAAGGATCCCGGCTTGCTAGCAGGCTATCTTCCAGGTGTCAAGCAAGGCCATGTTCCTGGATCTATCAATATCCCTTACTACCATTTCATCGATCCAGTGGACCAAACATTTTTAGAGCCTCTGGAAATAGAACAAATTCTTGTGTCTTATGGAATTGACAAGACAAAGGATATTGTTTTGATGTGTAGAACAGGGAATACATCTAAAATCCTCTACCTAATTCTCGAAATAGCAGGCTACTCAGATGTAAAACTCTATGATGGCTCTTGGTATGAGTACGGAGCTGGAAATGGGCCAGTTCATAATCCTTCTCTTGGATAAATTTTACCCAGAGTCAATGTAATTGCCATTTATATTTAGTTTTCGTGCTTCTTATTTTAATTTTCTAGGTCTGCAAAATATTAACTTTCCCCAGTGAATAGTTCATAAGCCTTCAAATATAGGTAGTAAATATACTCTGGATAGTGATTACTCTGGGTTTTATCACACCTTTTGAGTAATATCTCTGTAATCTAGCTAAATTTGGTGAGCTTGAGCTATAGAAAATAAAATTTTCTTGATGCCTGTTAATGATTTCATTAAAATTTCGAGCCTTTAATTTGAAGAATTCATATTAACTTTTATTTTTCAATAATGAATCAAGGTTCAGGGGTTTTGGGGTTTTGGGGTTTTGGGGTTTTGGGG